ATAGAAATTATGATTAATAATATGAAACATTCTGAGACATTTTTCCACCAGGCAAGACTGCATAAAAGAGATGCAATATATGCTACTGTATCTTCCCTGTCCCATAATCGATCATCGTCGCAAGAGACTTACCTTTGCACGGCTAAAACGAAATTGTTGCCAGCGTGTACTAATGCTTCATGCGCTTGTCCGTGAGTCAAGTTGCTAATCGATTGATCGTTCAATCTTACTACGACATCGCCAACCTTTAAACCCATACATTCGGCCAGGCTTCCCTCCATGACCTGTAGATCACGTTTCACATTTTACGTCTTGCTCCTTTTCAAAAATTCAACGTGATTACCTATCCCGCTCGATTCTCTCAATTCTGATTTTATTCTACTCTTTTAGCTTTTGGATTCAATTGCAGAGGGAATGATAAAAACAATATGATATTTATAATAATTAAATTGCTTAAATTGATTCAAAGAAGAATTACCACGTCCGATTTTGTATTCGTGTTTGGAATATAAAAATAGCTAATATTATTTGAATTATAATCTCGTGATTTTAATATCCTCATTAGCATCAATAATCGCTAGATAAGAGAAATGGAAAACTCACTCTGATAACGGTAAGCGGCTGCGGAAAATCGCTGCCACCAGCTAGTCGAAAGCCCCATGGTGTGTTGTCAAATTTTGTAAATTTTATGCTGATTGCCATGACGCTCTACATCTGAAATTATATTTGACAGACTTATTTTTACAATAAGGCGATAAAGTATCGATAAAAATGTATCCTAATCATGGTAAACAAACTTTTTTTTTACAGGATCCTGGACGTTACAATCAATTTCATAATCGGGCTGTTAATCGGCTGTTAACTAACAAAGTGAGCAAAGCTGTAATATATTATTTATTTAGGAAACTCTCACGTTCAAATAGATATTCTAAATTGGAATTACATGCGTTCGCGAAGGAAAGAGCGATTGTATCAATCGATTATGTCGCAAGTATTTCTCAAATTCTGTATCATCCTTTTATAATTAAATAAATTAATTGCTTTTTTTTTTAACATCACACATGCATGGCTCTAATATATTCTTCCTATCATAAATCTTTAAATCGACAATATTTAAATACTTCGAGTTTGGTCGGATTATATTACGTAAGATTCGAATATAAAATTTGTTTTTGCCAAAAACAGGATTTTGGCGAGGCGTAGTAGTGATATGACAACGCAAATGTCGAACATGCAATTTCCAGTACTATTTTAATGCTGTTTACGAATGCAACCGAGGAAGTAAACAATACTATATATCCTGATGAAAAATATGCGTCATTTAGAGAGGGGTCAACGATTCCGGTTACGCGAAGTCGCGAAGTGCCAAGGTAAGGTATATGTCTAAAAATATAATCATAAATCTTAAATAGAACTTAAACCGGCAAATAGACTTTAACCGACAAACGAGCAACGTGTGAGGAAATCAAACGTCGTCATCAAGTGATTGATGATATCTTCATATTAATTCTAGTCATAATTGCTAAATCAATATTGCTGAAATAAACACAGCTTAATTTGCACAACGCATCTTTCTTTCTTTACAAAATAAAAACATCGTCAAGTGAAAGTGAGAATATATATACATTCGCGCGAATGCCGGAGTTTTACGCAAGAATAATCGAAACCGTCGTGATCTCGATGGATTCAGATTCCCGATGCTGGTGGAAGATCGGCCTCCACGATTTATCCGCGACAATCCAAGCCATCTTTCCACAACGGAAAAACCAAGCGCGATCGGTATCGCGCCGATCTCGCTTCCTGGATCTAGCGTTCATCGAGCAAACTCGCGATATGTACGCGACTCGCCGGAAATATTCGACTTATTGTTAGACGATTCAACTTTCGTGTAGCGAATCGTCGTACATTGCAGTCCAAAGTCTTTCTCGCAAATTCATAAGTAGCGTAATCCCGACGCGATCTCTCCCTTAAATTCCGCTTTACTCCCGAGCCGAGCCTCGCCGAGCCGCGCGCGAATCCGCGCTATGCCGACCCGGAAGCGGCGGGCATCCGAATATAGAGTGTATGACGAGTGACGAGGTGGTCCCGAGTGTATGCCGACGGGTACGGTATATCCTGCTCGGTGGTGTTGTGTATATATTACTTGCCGAGAGCGCGGAGGACCGAGCTTAATAGCTAGTGCGGGGGTACGGAGCTTTTCCCAAGGAGGCGAGTCGGGGGGGTTGGCTGGTGGTCGATCGGATATGCGACGCCGCGCGGCGCGTAGACGCGGGGGTGCTGCACGCGCGAGATGCGAGATCGCTGCACGTGCGGGGGACTCACCGCATTCGCTGGGTGCGTGACACACGGCCGAAACGCCGCGGAACGGCCGCTGGAGCCGGCGGCGAGCCGTGCGAGAATACTAGCGCGGCGGAATAAAGTGCCGAACGGGTGACGGAAGGACGGGCCGGGCCCGGCCGTTGCCCGGCGCAATGCGGCCGAAACGGTGTCACGACAGGCTTTGCCAGAGGGCAAGACCGGCAAGACGCAGCGGAGCTTGCAAGCTGCAAATACTACGAGCGAGGGGCACGAGCAGCCGATGACGCGGGGCTCTCGCGCCGCCGCCGGCTCGAGATCTATTTACTGATCGATCTATATTGGATTTGAGCCTCGATTTCCGGTGGCGAATTACGCCCGCCTCCGCGGATCCCCGACGGATCCGCAAGTTTGAATGGGTCCTTCCCTTTCGGGAATAATGCTCCCGAAAGGAGGGCCCAAACTTGCGTAATTCAAATAAGACTTGCGTCTTCAATTCTCGACTGTGTTGCAGAAAAAAACACGCTAAAGAATGAACTTCATATATCTTGACGCGATAAGAAAAATACATACAAATAACAGTAAAGACTTTTTTAATCGACCCTATTATACTATCGTTTTTTAATCGTCATAACAATACGGCCAATGGTGCCGTTTTGATCGATTAATCGTCAAAATTAAATTTATTAATTTATTAATCAATTTAGAAGGACCAAAACCCATAGTTGAAACGTCTTGACGATTAATGGACCAAATTATTTCAGATTTTTTTCCTCCAAATCATCTTTGTAAAAGTCTGAATAAATATGAGAAAATCTGTGCAATTTGTCAGAAATTTTCATACGGGTACTGAAATATTCCGAAAATCTTCATCCAAATATTTCTGAAAGTATCTCAGAAATTTGATACATTTTTTCAGAATTTTTCATAAGTCTCAAATCTTACAAAGTTTCTGAGAAAATATAATAAATTTTTTCACCAGGGATGCGAGAAGAACTGAATATATTGATCGCATTTACCCAGATAATAACGTTCTTAAGATGTCTTTGAGATGGTTGTTAAATACGCTTGTTATCTGGGAACAGCCGTTTGATTCTTGTGCAAATCTCCGACACGTGCAAATACGCTTTCGATTTCATGAAACTCGATTACGGAACGTTGAGATAAAGCGAGAAATTAGATTACAGTTATACCGCATATCGATACATTTTAATAAATAAAATTTTTCTTATAGCGACAACGCACTAATATCCGATTAGATCCCAAAATTCTCCAAAATTTAAGCGCTGATTATTTGCAATTTTTACATCTTGGTTGCGTCACGTTAATTACAGTGGAATAGAGATGATTTTAATAAGATACTTGCGTATTTACGTGTTCGCAACGACGTTATGTGTACCAAGTATGTCAATTATGTAGAATCTATTTACTGATCGATATATTTAGACGCATGGGCGTCGCGATATCGCCCGCTCTGACGTATTTTGCACTACTTGTATTTTTCGCGAAATAGTACGAGAGATGAGATTTCTTGGTCATAGTAAAAAAAAAGGCGACAGTCGACATTCATTCATTTTGATGTAAAAACTGAGATGGGTATAATTGTCTATATTTTTTTATTTATATATTTGTCTGTAATAATATATATAGTATATAATAGTCTATCTATTATATACAACATATAATATATAATAATAATTTATAATATGTAATATATTATATGTACAATTGTTTATAATATACTTTCTTTTTTTTTATATCCTTGTCTATATGTATATTATATTATTCAAATTATATCCAAAAAATTTTAGTATTGCTAATAATACTTTATTTTGCTGCTTGAATCGATTTTGTCATTTTTTTAACTGTTTGTGTTAATCATACGCTATCTTTTTTTTCGAGAAGAAAGAGAGAGAGAGAGAGAGAAAGAGAAAGCGCATCAGGAACAACGATTACATTGTAAGAAATTTTATAAAGATATCTTCGTATTGCTTAACGAAAACAATTTTAACAATACTAACTACAAATTTAATTGTAAAAATTTTTAATTTACCTCTCTTTACATATTATCAGGTTTCATATAATCAAGCATCGATCTATGGATCTTGGAATAATTAGATCGAGTGTATCTGTTTTGCAACAGTGTATATGTATGTATGTATGTACGTACAATCAAACAAGCACAACGACGTAACGGCCTGATTGGCTACACCATATTGTTGATACATTTCAGTGTCGATCGAAACGTGATTAGTTACTTTATCTAATGACTTATTAATTGGCTTATTATTAGACGAAATAGCGAGTCCGATTAGTTACGCCATATTGTTGATACAATGTTTGACCAAACCATGATGTGATCATGATTTGTCCAGTAACTTACTAGCTTGCAAGCGTTATACAAAATTATAAAAATACATATCGTGGCCATAATTAACACTTTTTCTTGCAATCGTTATCTAACCTCGGTCTAACCTCGCACGATTTACAGTCGATTCGTTGTTAAAAAACTGGAGCAACCAGTTGGAAACTTGGTGATAAGACTTATCTCTTAAAAAAAACCAGTCGATTCGTGCGAGAGATTTTTCCCGATTATCTTTCAAGAAAGTAAGTGTGTCTACCATCTCACTATAACTTATAAAGTTGGACTGAAATTGAAATTAATTTTAGCTTAGGGTGAATTTTTTAATCAATTAACTCTTACAGCATCTTGAAATAAAATTTATTTAAATTTGTCGAAACAAAAACAGACTATTCTTAAAATTGCGGATATATATAAACGGTACAAAAATATCACTGTTTCCACCAGATTTAAATATCTGAAAGTCCTCTTCATTTCTTTTTTCTTTCATCTTTTTTTTCTTCGCTTTTAAATACCTTTTCTTCACTGACATCTACGGATTGAGCTTTACTGTCTTCATACGTTTTAACAATTTCACTACAAATGTCATGCAATAAGGTGGATGCACCAATCCTAAAACGATCACGTGTCAACCAATCTTTTCCCAATTCTTCCTTAACCAAGACCATCCATTGTAAAGCCTCTTGCGCAGTCTTAATGCCTCCGGCAGGTTTAAAGCCCATCTGAAAATAAAAGATACCATTATAGATGATCTCGGTTATCACAAAGATCAGTAAACCGCCGTACCTTTTTTCCGGCCAGTCTTTCGAACTCTTTTATCGCTCTGCACATAACAATGCCCATTGGCAATGTCGCATTAACTGTATCTTTCCCTGTAGATGTCTTGATGAAATCAGCGCCAGCAAACAGAGCTACCATCGACGCTTTGTACACATCTCTCAAATTAAATAATTCCCCTGATGATATTATAACCTTCAAACATATTTGTTCTTTCTTCTTATTTTCATCAGAAGCTTTATCAGAAGCTTTATCGTAAGTTTCATTGCAAGCTGAACGAATAGCTTCCAGCTCATTATACAGCTGTACCCATTCATGATTTATAACTAATGATCGGTCGATCACAACATCTATTTCCTGCGCTCCGTATTCTATGGCATAGCGCACTTCCTGCAATCGAGTCTCTAATGGATATTGTCCAGAAGGAAATCCTGCTGCCACTGATACAAAAATTATATTAAATAATATTGTTATATTGCACATCAGGTGAATATAACAACACAGAAGAAACGTTTCGTTTCCTACCGCTAGCAATCTTGACTGCATCTTCCTTATTCTTAAATTTTTTCAAGGCAGATACTGCATCTTTTACTTTGGACGGATAAACACAAACAGCAGCTGTGTGAAGCGGATTATTCCATGCAAATGGTAGCTTTTCTATGGGTTTTACAGCCTGTAATATTAATTAATCAATCAGTTATTCACATTAAAGGATAATTTCATGTTCTAACTTACATTTTTGCACAATTCTTCAACAGTGCTGCTCGTATCGTCATGACTCAAAGAAGTTAAGTCAATAAAACTTATTGCCTTTAATAACCAAGCTACTTTATTGTCTCCCGTTATCATTTCTGCCAAATAAGTTATTTGTCGCACACTTTTGTGTACTGCTGGCTCATTAATGTACACTTCCAAGAATTTTAGCCAGGCTAGAGTAAAAAAAATTCAAATATGATAATATATAAATACTATGTATTATGACAACTTTATTTATATATACATAATTGTTATTACTTATACGTAAAAGTATTATAAATATATGTATAAAAGTAAATATATTTTTCATCTGTTTTGTATTCTTATTACTTTTATGTGTAATACATATTAATATGTATTACACATAAAAGTAATAAGAATACAAAACAGATGAAATGATATAGGATCAAAATTATTATATTAATTACCTTGGATCGTGTCGGTCACGTGAAAGACTACCGGACGGTTATCCATGATTTCGAGCGAAAAACTTGGACAAGTTTATACTAAGCTACCGCAATCTCTGCTAGGACACGTGATTATCGTAGCCCTCCAAGAATGTTCTGTGATCTGCGTTAATCTCCGTTCGAAATGAAACAATTATGCCCAGTTGTCTTCTCCTACGGCTACAAGTGATAAGGATGATAGGCACGAAATACAGAACGATACAGCGAACCGAGCGAACTGTACTTGTAATAACGTGAGATACACCAATTTTTCGCACGTCACGCATCCAGCAGGGATAATAATCGCTTCGAAGGTCAACGATTTCTTGTATCTACCGAATTTCGGGGGAAAAAAAGCGTGTTTATATTTTGTGTTTTTATCGCCAGCAGGTCAGTAACTGTTCGCGCGCGAAGAGTACGAAGAGACCATCCGTCCTTTTTCGAAGACTTTCTGAACTGGTGCACATTGATGTAATAAGTGAATAGAGTGAAATGAAATATATTTGTCTCACTCTAACTTATTGCACTAATGTGCACCAGTTCAGGAAGTTCTTCGAAAAAGAACAAACGGACAATTTCTCACGTGTATACGTGATGTGGCTAGGCCTCGCTGGATATATGGATAATCAAAACACTGATATGACCGATCGTCGATGACTAAATACAGAACATCATTGTAGCACACTTTAAAGTTGTATGCGATCAGCGATCTTTAACTATAGCAAAGTGACTAACACATGAATCATGAGTGCAAAATTTCATGTAATTGAAACTTTTACATATGTACACGCACAGATACAATTTGTATCATACAAACATACGTATTTGTATTACGGCTCGGCAATCGGCACGTATGATTTTATGCTCATAAATAATCATATAAATAATATCATAGGTAACCCGAGGAGCTTTTGTCCCCAAGAAAATAATTTACGAGACAAAATACTGAGAAAGCGCGAAAGTTACGCCGCGAGCGAAACGCGCGCGCCGGACGAAAGTTTAAGTAACTGCCCGCGCAAGAGATCGTTCTGTAAAAATTACAATCGTCAATACTAACAACTTCGTTAGCCTTAAATAGATGAATTAATACAGATCTATACAAATCTATTTGCGCTAGTTTTAAAACTATCATTATCTGTGGTGCTCCCATTGCTCCCAATACTGTGAGGTCTGCATCTCGGACAGTCGCGACACGGTACGGTCGAACGCGAAGATTTCCTCTTCGCCAGTAAAGATGCTTGCCTTGTGGTCCTCCTGAGAACAAAATTAACATAATGTAATTAGTTTCATACGCGAGAGATTCGCATCTTTACAAAATCGGCTTTATAAAATACCGAGCCATGCGAAATCTTCAAATCGTCCATCAGCATTCTTTTCTCATCGGTGTATTCGGAGTATTCGGATTCGCTTTCCGATAAAAATAATTGCGTGTGTGGTACAGCTGCCGACATAACTACCCGTACCTACAATTTAATAAACTTTCGTTATTTATATATACAACTTTACACTAACTTATTCATAGCCAAAGTTCCGTATCTTCTATTTTATCAAAATTTTCTGTGTATAATTCATTTTTTTAATCAATTACAATATAATCGGTATAATTAATTTTTTTAAATCAATTATATAATACAAAGATTGATGAGTTAATGTCTCAAACTGCAAATGTTATAGTATAGTTCATAATAGATTCTTACCCTATTATCGTACAATGTATCAATAAGAGTAATAAATCGCCTGGCTTGAGACTTAAGTCGTAGGTTCAACTGAGGCACGTCCCTTATTATGACAGTATGAAACACTTGACTCAATTGCAAATAGTCGCTCGCTCCGAGAGGCTGTATGGAGATCAATTAGTCGCATTATACATTAATTTTAATCAATATAGTGTACATATATACTTCACGAGGTGGAAGACATCTCACCCTGTCGCATAATTCCTCGAATGTGGAATCCAACACCTGCCCGCAGGTTTTCCGAAAAGTGACGTTGCGTCCCCTTATGGAGATCGTACGTGGTCGTACCACATCGTTCTCCATGGAGCACAGGTACTTGAAGACCTTATCCACGTCGTTCGTGGCGTCCTTGCCTTTTCTTTGTGTAATTTACACGGATTTGTTAAACGGTGACGATATAGACAATTGTCGCAAATTGTACGCATCACATTTCTACATACGTGAAGTATATCTTCTTATTTCCGGATCCCGATTTCAATCTGTAATCTATCCCAGAGTCCAAGTTGCTGACCAAGCAATGATCTTTCAGCACTTTTATAAACGGTACGAAATTTCCTCTCTGCAGCCCGTTCTTATACAAATCGTCTGGCGATCTGTTACTGGTCGCGATCACTATCACGCCGTTGTCGAACAGCTCCGTGAACAGTCGCTTCAGTATCATCGCGTCCGCGATGTCCGTCACCTGCAATGCATCTGTTTTCATTGATCTTTTATTTATAGTTGAGCCTTAGTCCCGGTCTACAATAGGCGTTTTAAGCTCTAAGAAATTGAACAATCACAGTCAATTATTCTCCTCAAATTCAACTGTGATCGAACAATTTCTTAAGACTTAGGGCTTAAAACACCTATTTTAGATCGGGACATACAAGCGGTGTTTCTTCTCTTGAAAATAATATAAATCTCAACCTGAAATTCATCGAAGCACAGCAGCCAAGTCTCTTCTGCAATGCCGGAGGCTACCGGAGGTATCGGGTCAAAAGGTTGTAGCTTGGTGCTAGTGACATCTCGTACAATGGTCTTCTTCACCTCGTGCACCCTACTATGCACGTCCAACATGAAGGAATGAAAATGGAACCTTTTTTTATTTTCAATCTGAAACATTTTCATTTCAAAGTACATTATATTATGCCATGGGAAAAATTCATTTTCGTTCTGTACCACACATGGAAAGCTATATAATTTATCTCAATCCAATTGATTATAAACAATTTACTTTCATTTCATTGTTCAACTTATTCGTTTCAATTTTAAAAATCTTTCCCGCGATATCTGTTACTTATTTATCTGTTACTTCAACAACCGTTCAACAAGTCATGTAAATTACGCAAAAACCGTTATATTATCTCTGTCATATCATCTCCAGATTGTATGAAAAACAAACAAACATGCGTTATCGTGTCAAAAGGATTAAGATATATAATCTAGCTTTTCACGCACGGTGCTTACGCAAACAAGCAACCAGAGAGATACCTGGCAACAATTGTAAAATAGGTCCATCAACATTGTTTTACCTCCACCCACCGCTCCGTGAATGTACAACCCTTTCGGCGCATCCCTCCGCTTGCTGCCAAACCATTTTTCCAACAGATTCAACTGCTGCGGCTTGTAATCGTGTACCTCTTGGTAAATTCTCTGCAGGGTCTGCGCCACTTTCATCTGGTACGCATCGCTCGCCAGCTCGCCCCTCGCTATTTTCTGCTTCAGAACGCTGACCGGTCCGCCGCTCAAGTTTATGTCTATATCGCGAGCGTAGCTGTATCTCTGAATGCAAATCATAGGTCGTACACGCGTCAACGCGTGACAGAGATTATTCGCGCTAGCGCACTTCTTCGCGAGGTGACAAGACATACTTAATTGCGGGTATATTACCTGGAAAGTGGAAAAAAGCCAACTGTTACGAACTACTGATTCACCGGGTCGCTCGAGCGTGTCACGCCTAACGATCCGGACGTGTAGGACAACTTTGACTAAACTCCGATTAATTTAATCGACGACTAATTCAACCGACAGAATCGCTTAAAATCTCCAGCTGTATAATTCGTCGCCCCTAATCTTCCTTTTTTTTCATATGTTAAACAACAAAAATTAATAATACTATCCACGTTATTAAAACAATGGTACTGCTTAATGAGTTTAATCACCGATTAAATTAATCAGGATTTGATCGGGATCATCTACAGTCGGAAAAATCTGGCAGGAATAATCTTCCCGCAAATATACACGCGTCGACGCTATCTACCTCTATTAGGTATGTCGGTATCTATTAATGGTGCGGGCGCGATAACCTTGACGAAAAAAAATGGCAGGCAAACGCACGGACGGCACGTGCCTGCCGAATTAAAGCACTCACACACGTGAACAGGTACACGTCAATCTCACGTTCGGAGGAGGTCCCAAGGAGGATGCGCGTGGTCCACGGGGCTACACACAGCTGATACAGCGCCCAGGAGGAAAGGCCCGCTTTCCCCCGCTATACGCGACTGTCCGTTTAAACCATACGTGCGGATAACGTGCCGCGCACCTGTCATGCGCCTCTGCCCGCCCGCATTTGAGAAGACGTGTGCCTTTTGAAAGACTCCGGTTCGCCGCGCGCCGTCACGCGAGAGCGGACTCGCGAGGAAAATTACCACGAAATAACTATATCGACCAATCCGCGTCACCATTCGGCACCCTAGAACCGCTATTATTTCAATATCGAAATATATCGAATATTTTTTTTACTTTAATAAATAATATTTTACATTAATAGATAATAGTAGGTAGGAAATAGAGTACATAGATCTTTCATTACATCGATTTATAACAAAGATATGTGGTATATTTTTGCACATAATTAATAATTATGAATAATTATATTTGCATAACATAATAACACTTAATAGATTATATATTACGTTATTTTATAATATAAAATAAGTATTGTGTACAATGCGATGTCTTTACAATATAGATATATGGAAAATTATCGAATGCCTAATATATTTTTATCTATGATACATTCACAGTTGTCCCTCTCTTTTGAGCATATCTGATCAAGACTTCCATAGGAAGATTAGGAATGTGGATAAGAAATGCGAGATTGATAGCCTTGCAATACTTAATCCGCGCAATCCTAAAACGCTTTTGTCACAAGAACGATTGCGTAACGCGAAATAAGATCCTCCTCGAGACCTCTGGGTACATACAGTACTCTTGGCATACTCAGTCGTTATGATAAAACTTTGAATAAAGCGAAGAAGTGTGCAGTGGCGGCCTTCGCTTGTCAGGACTGAACGCTTCTCTGGAAGAATAGTAGCGTCTTTCGATAACCTTGTCGAAGAATCTGCTGAGCTTCACGGACGAACTGGAGCCTGCCGCTAAGGATCTTATCTGACGGCAATCCTGTTGAGATAAAGCATGTCAAGCGTGTTGGGCGAGTCTGTCGAGTGAGCGATATTTACCAAAAATATTTCGTCGGCACCACATTCCTCCGCGATGGTCGCAGAACGTCTGTGTATGTTGGATTTTACGAAATTGGACCCCGAGATCAGATCGAGCTTCGTGCCAATGACTAAAATTGGAATCTAGAAATAAGCGTTATTTGTTCACGTTCATATTGTTCGATATTAGTATATCGCAGTAGCTCGAAAAAATTTCTGTCACCTGAGTCGAGCCCACAAACTTCTCAGGATCAAAGTCCTCGAACGACTTGGACCTTGAGGAAGTTCCGTCTTTACTTAAAACCTCCTCCAGCCATTTCTGCAGATTCTGCTGTGATTTACGATTTGTTAAATCGTGGACTAATATTATGCCTAGTTGTGAATGACATACATTTGCAATCACTGTCACATTCTGTCACAATTACGCGTCCATACATCGAACTAATAATAGGCACCTTTAACCATCATAAAAAATTGTATATACCGTTTGTAGGATTGTAAAACACAGATCTTGTGTTTTTGTGACTTTGGCTGCCGCCGACGTCCCATAGCTCGACGAAGTATCTCCTCTGATTTGGCGTGCCTTCCTTATACTCGTGCAGCTTGACTTCCACCGAGCAACCTATCGTCCAGGAAGGATTGCCGATAGGTTGCTGTTGGCATATTAAGTGTGTCAGCGATGTTTTACCGACGCCTACGATAATGAAGCTAGTTATTATCATTATATAGATCATAAATTCTCTTATAAAAATAATATCTCTCTTTTACAAATGATAGTTCACAATATGGGTTACCATACATACATAATTATACATAACCTAAATATCTGAAAATTACGAATATCTCCGAGATATTAATAGACACATTAATGAGAAGTATCTTTATCGTAATAATTATTCCATATTCTGCTTGACTTAAAATATTATATTTACAAAGGTATCATCAGTGATATTTTTATTTAAAAAAAAACAGAAAAGTACTGTATTTGAAAATATTTAAGTATTTCTCTCGTGTTTACCTGAGTCGCCTACTACAATAATTTTAACTTTATCGATCGCCGCCATTGATAAATCTTGTCAAATATTCTTTATTTGTGACAATTTTGACATTTGACAGGCAGTCGTTTGACAATTTGTGTCATGTTGGTGGCAGTGCCACGCAGTCCTCGCCTCGCGCAATTTTCTACGCATGCGCGTCGAGCATGGTTCCATGGTTTTCGATGACCAATAGGAAAGACTCTAGCAGAATCTCTAGAAAAAGAATTCTCCTATTGGACATCGGACGCAATGTGAATCCACCATTATGAAAAAACTTAGCCGCTCTAGGGATTTACATTTCGCAGCGTTCAAAAATTGGGGACAAAGTTAGCGCATGCACGCGCGGTCGCGCGGCCGTTGGCAAACGCGCTCGGTGCTTCAGCCGCGTTCGTATATTCCGCCGTGCGCGCTCGCGGCGGCTCGCGAAAACGTCGGGCATCATGCGGCGCAATACCGTGGCGTACTGCGGGATTTTCCCGATCCTAACCTAGATCCAGCCGCGATCGTAGATCCATCGCGCGCTGACGGGTGTAGGATCGACGATCGTGTTCTCGTGATTTCTTAAAAATTTCCGAAGCGTAGGGCGATGTGTCCCAGCTCAGGACAAATATAACGATAATCGACGAAGGAAGGGGAAGAACAGAAGGGAGAGAAAATTCTGAACATTGTAAGAATTCGTGGTGTAAATATTTGCATTCGTGAAGCTGCCCTTTTCTAACGTATATTCGTCAATATTTTGCTGTGAAACGTCTTCTTTTTTAACGCGTTGATCTGATTTGTAGGAGAAAGATGAATATACGCTTACAATTCTGCACATGTAGCAACCGTATCGCTGGAGAATGTAGTGCGTGTAACTATGGTAAAGTGCGTTTGGCATGAAACTGTGAGCCTGACATGTAAACGGATAGTAGCATTGTAATAATAACAATAATAGTACTGTGGATAAAATTTATTGTTATTCGGCAACGATATTGATCGTCAAAAAGCTAATCTCTCTAATCGCTTGAAATATGAGCGCTGAGGAAAGACTTGTCACCGAGGTGCCTAGTAGCTTGAAGAAACTGGCACGTCTCGTCGTACGTGGATTTTACTCGATAGAAGATGCATTAATTGTGGATATGTTGGTCAGGAATCCATGTAAGTAATTATGTACCGATCTAGAAAATCGTTTTGCGATTGAAATAAATATTTTGTTAATATAAAAAAAAATGTGCCAGGTATGAAAGAAGATGACATTTGTGAATTGCTCAAGTTTGAACGTAAGATGTTGAGAGCCAGGATATCAACGTTGCGAAATGACAAGTTCATTCAAGTGAGATTGAAGATGGAGACAGGATCAGATGGCAAAGCGCAGAAAGTCAACTATTACTTTATTAACTATAAGGTACATAAAATGATTGCAGGTTTCTTTAATTTGACAGAAAGTACTAATAACAAATGGAACAATGATTTGTAAAGCTTTATATCTTTGTTTTAGACGTTTGTAAATGTGGTGAAGTATAAGCTTGATTTAATGAGAAAGAGAATGGAAACAGAGGAAAGAGATGCAACCAGTAGAGCTAGCTTTAAGTGTCCGAGTTGTTTAAAGACATTTACTGATCTTGAAGTAAGTAATATGGTAAGCAATATGGTACAAATGATAAAGTCTTGAGAATTGAATTAATTAAGAAAAAATCAAATTTTACTTTTGATCCTATTTTATCATATTCTTATATTAAGTGATATAAGTGATAAGTGATAAATAATATAATAATTGAAATAGTACAGTAGTGTAATACAATATCACATTGTAATATTAATTCAAAGTTGGTGGTACAGACAAAATTTTATTAAATTCCTGTATAGGCGGATCAACTTTTTGACATGAGAACCGGCGAGTTTAGATGTACATATTGTCGGGAAATAGTGGAAGAAGATCAGTCTGCTCTTCCAAAGAAAGATTCCAGATTATTATTAGCAAAGTTCAATGAACAGTTGGAGCCGCTCTATATACTATTGAGGGAAGTAGAAGGAATCAAATTGGCACCTGAAATACTGGAACCAGAACCCATTGATATTAACACTATTCGAGGGTACGTGTTTTTAAACGTATGTTCATATATTAAAAAGGTTTATTTTATTAAAATTAATTATTTTCAATAGTATCGACATGAGAAAACCGAGCAGTCTTAGAGGACCTAACGAACAGTGGTCAGGTGAAGCGACTAGAATGTCAGGCTTCATGGTGGAGGACACCAGAGTGGACGTTACCATCGGAGACGAGTCTCCCGATGACAGTGCATCGAATCACAGAAAGGAAAGACCTATATGGATGATGGAAAGCACAGTTATCAATGCCGACGGTTCACAGGTATTTTTGTCATTCTGTCGTGTCGTTTCCTTACGGCTCTTATTCTTAATTCGCGAATGTCTTACAGCCTGACGGCGTGAATACGCAAGATAGCATCTTGGACAAAGCTGCAGCCACTGCCACAAATACGACGATGAATAATAAGCAAGGCGAGGACATTATGTCGGTGTTGCTGGCTCATGAGAAGAAGGGCGGCACCAATTCCACTTCTATCAAAGCAGTGCTCCCACAGGAATCCAGCGACAGCAGCGATAACGAGGAGGATGCGGAAATGCAGGCAGTTGATACCGGTAAGAAAAAATTTATCAAGGGATTCTGACATTAAGACGTTTAATCTTTTAAAAGCCAAGAGAATAATAAGATAAAAAAATCTCGAAACTGAAAAAATGATGAAAAGGAAATTCGCAAAGCATCCAAATGATTGCTAATTAATTTGTATTTTCTTAAATATTACTATTGCCGAATTGATTTATAGGCGAAGTAGAGGCGATGGATTCCGAGGACGATGAATTAGTACCAACCGTGAGTGTCGGTGGCAAGACAGTCGCGATCACCGACGTTAACGACACCTTGATTGCGGAAATGACGCCTATAGAGAAGGAGGTTTATATCCAGACGTATCAGGAATATTACTCGCATATGTACGACTAGACGAAGAACAACGAGAGTCGTCGTCTTCACAATGCTCTGCATAAGACTGATATTGATTTGGTATTGTTCCCTGTAATATTTTGTATAGCCACAAAATATATATATAATTTTTTATAATGATGCGACGATCTTTTATAGCGACATAGCAATCCTGACAGGATCATCCTGTACGTGTTTCTCTATCGATAAATGTAAGACAGATGCATGTATTCACTATAGCATTTGAAGGATTAATCGGTTTGAAAAGAGAAAAGATAAAAGGTGCGTTTTTACAGTTTCATATGTATTTTCTAATGTAATTGCAACTGAACAATACCGTCAATTAACAGTTTTTTTACTAATAAATAAACAATTGAATGTGTGGAGTATCGTAAAACCATAAGAAATTAAGTGGGACGAATAATATACCATGTCACTTCTGGTAAGACGGGAAATTCTTAAACTTAACCAAACGAATTATTAGCTTTACTTGACATTCTTTTTTTTTGTTCATCTCGCAACGAATTTCTGTCCAACCACCACCATTGCACAGAAATTCCGAGACGAATTTTTTATATTTAATTATCTTTTCGCTTTTTTTGTATTCTTTTCGTTTTTTTTCTTTAGTAACAGTTTCATAATATTATAATACAGTTAATTTTAATAGTGGTCTTTTTTTTACCTACATTCACTGAATATAGCTCGTTCACTGAAAATCACGTCAAAAGAATCCAAAAAGACGCAAATTTTAAATGAATTACTTATATTTTAAAGTTTTTAATCGTGTATAATAATTCACTTTAGATTTAATGTTAATATCTAAAAGGTAAAGTTGGTTTTAAGGCGAAAAATAATCCATCGTGAGCAAAAAGCTCAGGATTCTTTTGAAATGATCGATCGCAAGATAAAAAGCGCTAATCTTTCGCTCTCTCTCGCTCTTTCTTTATCTCTCTTTAATTTACTCTGGTTCGTTTAAGCGCAAACGAGCAAAGTCTTCAAATATGATATTATCATCGTCATCGTTGGCGTAGCAAGAGTTCTCGTACCGTGCCCTGTCGATGCTCTTGCTTTTTTTTAATATGGCATTTTCTCTTTCAATGGCACCTGCAAATGGAAAAAAGAACCGCTTAAATCAATCCGAATTGAAAGTTTGAAACGCTTGATTTAAATTCTGAATTGAATCTTTTGTTCAAAAATAAAAGTAAAATATTTTATCTAATTAAGATATAAGAATATTCTAAGCGACACACATACCAGGGGTCGGATGCATCAGTTTGAATGGAACATCGGTGACCAGCTCGCCACCCAGAGTACCGCAATTCAACTTTACTCGGATCGAATAAGAAATCACGATACCCAAGGCTTCAGCCGGGCACTTGCCCTCCATTACCAGAGTTGAGGATGCCAAATTTACGTCGTCATCCTAAATGGAATAATCAAAATGGATTTTTCCACATTATTATTGGTTTATATATTGGTACATTATTAGTAATATTAATGTTTTATATATTAATATTTATATTATATTAAAACATTAGTCTTTGCATAACTAATATCTTTAAATATATAATAATATACTAAATATGATATCAGTAAAGTGTTATATAATCTTTTACATATTTTAGCAGCATAACATACATTACCATGAAAGAAAAAGAGTCATAAATTAATAAAATAATTAGATTTAATCATTTCAAACTTGTTCAAGCGCTTGTTACGCACTTTGAGATGCCCGTCGAGAGCGATGCCACGCCGATCCTTGTTGCTGCTGGCCAAAGGCACAAGATAGAATTGCTTCGTGAAGGATGCACCCGGTGTGATCGGGCAACCCTCGCGGGTTTCCAAGCTAGCCACGTGTCGCGAAAATTGGGCATTTACCATGGTCACCTCGCAATGTTGTACCACGTACAACTGCGAAGAAGAAATAGCGATGGCAGCAAAATACGACAAGTAGAAATTTTTTTCAAAAATTTTATTTTAATCTTAGAATATACCTTGATGTTCTTCACCGCCTTTCGTGAATTGTTCGTAACTGTGATGTTCGCCGCAACTTTCTCGCCGTGATAGTAGATCTCTCTGTCCAAAGTGACTTCCAGATTCAGTTTGCCCTGGGAGAAGGTGAATCCCTTAGAAATCAAAGAGCTGGGAAGTCGGCGGCCTCGCGTCGGTGGAGCGTACTGTAGCTTCTTGATGGCTAATGATACAGAGGACCTTTTGTGTCCCTGACAAAGTAAAAAACAGGTTATTGCAGAAACTCTGCTTTAAAATTTTAGATACACGTTACTTTATCAATTTGTTTTTATATTGTGCATCAACTTCTTTTATTATACATATATCTTCTTATCTCCTATTTCGATACCTTGTCTTCTTCGTTGTCTGCAACAAATACTTTCACAGCATATTCGACTCCTAGGGGTTTTCCTTGATCATCGTCGCCGGGTTGCAGGGTGACCGAGCAAGGAGCCGTCTGTGGAAAATGGAACGTGAATGGATATGCATTTGAACCCAAACGCTTCAGCAAGCGCTCCTGGATCGTTGTAGTCTCTTGCTTCTCCTTCTTCTGCGGTACTATCTGATCTTGACACAATACTAGCTCTTTGCTGAACTTGACTCCCATAACTTCATCCTCCTCTCGGCCATATCGGTAGGTTGTCGAGACCTAAGCATAATATAATATTACATATTAATAGGAAATGTGCTGAACATCTTTCAAGAATTATCCAAGAATATTTTTGCAAGAACGCGTTGAATGTCTTTTACGTTTTACCAACCTGACCAAAGACCTTGCGCCCCTGAAGGTAATCATTCTCTACGACGATAACACCGTCGATGGGATCAGTATGATCTAGATGGTCGATAAAGTCTCTCTTGCCCAGATATACCGTAATTTTGCCTGAGCAAGATATTTTGATATAACGATTATTAAGCGCGGCTTATTAAGGAAGACAGGGTAGCTTGAAGCAGAGTCGAGCGTACTCACCATTAGGAGTGGTCTTCTTGAATACCTTAACGGCCACAACAAAGACCAAAAACAATATAGGGAACATCTGGCTGTTATATTTTTTCCTAAACGAACAAGTGATTTAGCAGAGAAATTTGTTTCCCGCCCAGAAGTGACACGTCCCCGGCACTCGGTTCGGATCCTCATATAGTCTTGCCGGGGCTTCCCTCGCCTCGAAGCCATACTGCTAATAATACTGTTAATAGAATTACTTCGTTATAAAACTAATTTAAGAGGATTGCAAGTTATGTGTGACACATAAAGAGAATCGTCGTGTACATTTTCGATCATTTTGCGCTTAATAGAATATAAATGTACAACACGCGGTAACACTGCAAGTATTGACATTTGCGTACGCAATATACTTAATCGCGATATTCTTGTACAAACCATAAAGTAAATCGTTTACAATAATTGTCCATTGAACGAAAAGATGGTACCAATTTCATTGGGAGGGAGATGAGTAAAGAATCTCACGCGTCTTCAGTCTTAAGTTTATTTCGATAATGAATGTTTACACAATATAATAAGGAGGTATTTTTTGCAGTTTAAACGAAATCCCCTGAATTTTTCTAACGGTCGCTCGTGCGCGTTTCCACAGATTTTCTTCAGTGGTAAACGATACCTATCGCGAGCCTCAAGTAAATATTACGTAGCGTTAATTAATTTAACCCGCTTATATTTCGTAATTTATTTCTTCTTTTTTGCACATTCAATAGTCGATAAGACAGTCGATGTTACATATATATACTTTTCTGTGTATATGTGTGTGGGCGTGAACACCATCGGCGTAACGATGCTCCCAAAAATATTGTGGTAACTGAGAGACACTTTCTTTCTTTTCTTTTGCGCAATATGAAAAAGGCAGTAGTAATTCGAATGCCCCTCGAAATCGTACGATATCGCTTCCTCGACAGTCGGTGACCATAGGCATATAGAGTCGATCGAAGATCATTTTTATATTGTGCTTACAAGAACTTTCGACAGACGTTCCACTTGGTGCTCTAAATGCTTGTTTTTTTTTTTTTTAATATTCGGCGGAATAAAAATTTTCAGGCTGGAACAAAAAAAATGCACGCAGGCACCAAGCTCGCAAGATCCTTATCTTAATCAAGTGAAAAAAAAAAGAAAGAAAATATCGCGCGCAGGATGTAGTACTACACAATGTAATGAGAATTACTACAAACTATAAAAAAATTTTTTACGACGGCAATAACAGTAAATAATAACATAGTAAATAGTAATAATCGTGACAAACATGTCTAATAATAGGCACAGTTAAAGAGTACGGTATATAGTTATATTCATTACTCAGCACTTTTTTTTTTATTACAACTACAGAAATTCGTTGCTACCAGGGAACAGAAATGCTGTGCGTGACGAGATTTTATGAAATCTTTATTCCAAATAGTTACGCTTCACAATGCCTTCGTACAATGCCTACTATAATCTACAATATTATCCCGACACTTTTACAGCTCTCCGTAACGTTTATATCTTAAATGAGATCGTTCTTTTTCTTTTTACAAGAATTTTCAATAAAGAGCGTAAAAAAAAATCACAACTGAAAAAAGTATTCAATTTTACCTTGTACATCTATGTAAGTAAAATGGAAAATTTTCTAGTCAAAGGAAAAAATCGTAGAGTTTGATGCGAGTGCATTGTAACTCGCGAATCAATCAAAACAAATTTATAACCATCAATTTAACAAGTTATTACACTAATTTATCCTTGTAGAGATTTCAAGTTTACAAGTAAAAGTCGTAGAATTATTTAAATTTCTTAATTTACGCAATCATACATTGAATTCTAAACGTCATCCCGCTCCTCGCCGAGCAGTCAGGATTCGAGAAAGGCAATCCTTTTTATTCGCGAATGCACACTGTCTCCTGCCTCGATACTCGCAAAATGCCATCTCACACATTTGCAATAAGATGCTTAGAGCATTGGTTGCCGTATATACTTGAGCAATATCTAAACTGTCGTAGCGTCAAGATGAACGAACAAAAAACTTACTGAAATGCCTTATTTAGTATTCGACATA